CCGAAGGGCCTGCGAAACTGCAAGGGTTGCTCCTGTAGAGCTGCGAGGGGCTCGCCCAAACCAATAAACAATGATTTACTAAAAACAAAAAAAACCTACCCAGAAACAAAAACCAACCAAAAATCGCGAGAGATCCGGCAGCAAATTTAAGCTACCGCCGCACTATTATTTTGCAAAAAAAAAAACCAGTCACCATTTCATTTCTAATCACATCATTATATATCACAGAGAAGGGAACTTGAGTCAAGAGACGGGACATCTGCATATCACATGGAATTGAAGAGCAACTTCATTTACCTGTTTATCGAGCGTACTATTCCATTGTATCACTTTAGCTATCGATATATTGATAAAAACCCTTTTCACTACGTTATGTGTGAAATTTTATTACGATTTTACGGAAATCTCTTTAAATTTAAGAGAAAAAACGATGGCACAACCTTTCTGAATTAGCTGGACGACTTGTATTCGGTTTGTGTATGGATATCCGCTCGAAAACAATATACATTAGATAAATAAGGCCAACACTGAATGGTGTAAAGATGTCAAACAGCTTGCATACGAATTTCCCGCCCTCTTCAGCGCCATGCGTTTTTTTACGTAGAACCGAAAGGGCAACCAAAAACTGACATAAATATAAGCGTTTCGAAAGTATTTCCTGAAAAAAATTTACAAAATTAGACACTCAGATCAGTAGTAATTCAAATTATGGTTCTTCATCAATGTATCTGACAGTTATTTCAGTTACTTTGTCCTGTGATGTAACCTGCTGGCAATCCTCCTCCCGCCCCCTTTCACGTCCCCAAGAAGTAAGTACAAAAAAAATTTGCTTCCTTCTCAGATTTTTCAGAATTAGCTTGTAATTCTACGGATGATGAACAAAATCAAAACATTTTGACAGTGTGCTTTACCTGGATATTTTCTTGTTGCTCGACAGAGAATCCACCATCAGCCATAATCAAATCTACACCAACATTATTGGTGCCACGCTTCACAACCTGCGCGAAAGAAAAAAAAAAACTTATTAAAATTGATGGAAAAACCATCTACAAATAATTGAACCTTGAACCTAATCTGTATGCTTTATAACGACTGGGATCTTCGACATGATCAGGAGATAAAGCTAAACAGTACAACAGTTTTATGCTGAAATTTCCTGTAAGCAAAAAAGGCCCCAGTCCTATGCGAGTCATATTTCCTGAGTTTCTTGATCTTGAATCAAAATACTTGAATATCAATTTAATTCTGATAAAAATTCAAAAAATTTAAGCCCGTAAGAGTTCTAAATAAAAAGTCGCACCACATATATATGTATATATATATATATGTATCGGTTATCTCGACTTCGGAATGGAATTGCTGCTGCGCGACACTGGTGTGTGCGTCTATGATTTATTCAATCGCTCTAGAGGCAACCTGGTACCGTCACATACGAGACAGTCAGATCCTCAATTCTCGAAAAAAGCAGCCAAAGTTGCTGAGAACAACTTAAGAAAAAGCAAGGAAAAAGTCTGGCAGTGCGACTTTTCACAGGCTAATTTATTGAAGAAAATGTTCAGAGAAGCTTAGCAAAAGGTTTTGAAACGCTTACTTCTTCGAATGATGTAATATTTTGCGGTTTTGTAATATCGCCATCATTATGGATGCCATAGTATGGTTCAAAATAGGCCGGTGATGCAGCAGTGAAACGCTGTAACTTGAAATCGTCCTTTCCTGCACAAAAAATTGATTAGCAACTCAAAAATAACATAAGGCAGTAGCACCACATCAACATTTAATCAGCGGAATCTTTGACTTTTGTCCTGATCAGCCTACGGACCCTCCTCCACTTCCCTTATCCT